AAGGAGGCAGTCTTTTATGCTTGTTTATGTGGGTTTTTTGCAGGCTTGCTATGGTTGCTTCTACACGTGCATATTAATCTAATGCAATAAACTCCAGTGCACATCATGCCAGAGTTTACTGTTCCCAGGCACTGCATTTATATGTGTCCCCAGGACTGCAGCATGTTGAGATGGGTCTGAGCAGCCCCTGATGGCAGGGGGCCCCAAGGGTCAGCCTACCAGCCCAGGACTGCTCCAACCTGGCTCAACATGCTGTGGAGGGGCTGTCTGGGGCATGAGGGTACTCCAGTGCAGGGCAAGCCAGCAGACAGCCACCTCACTGAAGCACCCTCATGCCCCAGCCAGTTGGGTCAGCAACTACACGTGCAGTCCTGCACACAGAAAAACTCTGCAGCAGGACAGTACTTGTATTTACAAGTTTATTAGTTGCAGAGTTTATTAGTTGCCTGTGGCCTAATAGGACCACATGTATAGATGCCAAGACATTTATTGAGGAGCTAATTAGGCAACTGCAGTAAACATCTCATGTAGATGCACCCTGTTGGATGCAATCTGCTCCTTTACAAGGAGAAGAAAATATCGTCTCATAAATATTTTTTAAATCGTCTTTGATGGGCCATTGCACAGAATCTGGAGAAGAGGTAAATTTCATCCAGAGGAAGAGAAATCAATCAAGCTTTCTCTCTAGTGGGAGAGTAAAATTTTACTTTGGGTCCCTGGGAGCCCCCTTCAGCATAAATGGAACTGAATAAATGTATCCTATCTTTGCATTGTGTATCCCTCTTTCACAAGGCATTCTTCCTTAGCTGCCACAATGGAGAAGTGCTTAACAGGGATTGGGCTAATAATTATTAGCACCTGACACTATCCCCCCTGGAACTCTCTCTTACTTGCTTTCCCTCCTTCCCTTCCCCCCCACCCCCCCCAAGTGTTACAATCTGCTTGGCTCACTACTAGATGCCCCACTGGCAGATCGGGGCAGGGGGCTGGGACCTGCCCCATCCCTGCAGCTCTTTCCAAGTCCTGTGCCTTGATCACCTGAGCAGGGATAGGGCCTGTGATCTGCCCCTGAACAGGACAGTTCCCAGCCCCTGGTCTGTAATCATGGGGCAGGGGCTAGAGAGTTGGTTCCCTGCTCAGCTCGTGATCGCTGAGCTGGATGGTCACCGACTCCCAGCTCCCCACTCCCTGATTGCAATGGCAAAGCAGAGGCTGGGAAATAAGGTTCTCCCAGCCCCCACTCCCCAATCACTAACTTGGAGTGGGAGGGCTTGTAGCTCCCTGCTGCCAGGGCAAGGGGACATAATCCCCAGTGGCACAGCCCATCTTCACAGCAGGCAGCTCCCAGGGGCAGGGAGCAATCTCCTGCCCCCGGTGGCCAGCTGACCAGGAGCATATTTGCTCCTGGTCAGGCATCTACACAGGTGCTACTGCACAGTTAGTAATAGCAAGTAATTTTGCTACTTACATTTGCAGGTAGTAAGCATGTACATGTGTAGATGCGCATGCCTACTGCACAGTAAACTACACTACTTCACAGTAAAGCATCTCATGTAGACACACCCAGGATCTTGTTCGCCAAACAATCTCATAGAAGCCAACAGACCGTGAAGTCAGAATCTGTCCCTTAAATATAGGCTTTGATTTAGCCAAGCCCTTTAGCCCATGCTTAACTTTAAAGGAGTTAACATCTATCCCAGCCATAGATGTTCCCAACCATTGATCCAATAAAAGATATCACTGACAAGAATTCTTGCCTCTTGCATAACTCCTGGACCATCACAGCAACAACATCGCTTCAACACTGCCTCAACTTTAGGCACATTAATAGAGATTCCTAGAGTTTCTGAAGGGACAAGTAATCACCTAGTTATCCAACTCTGGCCTAACACAGGAGACTGAACTGCCCCTCCTGTTAGTCCTGTATTGGGACTACATGTTGATATCTATCCCTATTTGGCAATGCATGTGAGCATATGTGTAAAGCCTTCTCCATTCATTACACAAAGCAAACATATGCCTGATTTCAAGCATTTGCTCCTTCTTTTTAAGCAAAACGTGTTCTGAAGCATCCTTTTTTTAAACAATCAGGCCCATAATAGTGAAAGATAAGTACAGAGAAGGGGGTAAAATGTCTTCCTCTTAGCACTGAATTCCAACTTAAGGTTTCTCCTTCCAGGTATTTTTTTTCAAAGAATGTCTCCTGGGTTTCTGTCTGCTGTGTAAACTTCACAATAGATGAAGGAAGCAGTTTGTTAAAAACACCCAGTGAGGCTGTAACAGGAGTGACTGGTCAAAAGTTGCCTTCTGCTGTTTCTGAGGTATATTTGAGAAAGGAGTTAGAAAGTGGAGGAAACTCAAAATATAGCTGTAAATATGATGAAAGGCTTTGTAAATTGGGACTTCCATGGAAAGGTTAAAAGAAGGGAGATGTGTTCAGGCAGAAAGCTGAGAAGCCCAGGTGGCAGGGAGCAGTGCAGCCACCTGATAATATGTCAAAGGAATGTGACAGTGAGAGCAGAGAGCATTAAATTTATTCTCACTGGTCAGTGAAGGCAGGGCAGGAAGTGAAAGGAATCAACTCCAGCAAGCAAAATGCAGACTGAATATTAGGAAGGACTTTGCAGTTTATTGCTTGTCAATAGAGCAGGCTGTCACTGGATGCTGTGGGATCTCCCTTACTGGTGATCAGAAAGGTGAAGCCAGATTGCCAGCAATCAAGGCTGATGTCCTAATGGTGAAAAGGCAACCTGAACCTAGCAGACTATTGGACTAGTATTGTCAAAGCAGGGCAGCCTCCGCAGCCAAGGGCACATAAGGGATTGCTGTGGCCACTATCATATCTGTCTGCCTTTGACTCCCCAGCTCGAATAACCAGGGATTCATTTATAGCTGAGTCAGCTAAAGGAAGCTTCAGCACAATCCTGGGGATGAGCAGTGAAATTTCTCTTTACCACAGTGATGCTGAGATTGGCAGAGAAATAATAAAACCCATCCTGCCATGAGGAATAATGTACTAGGTCATCCAATGGAGATCATTGCCAACTGGCATGGATCCAACTCAGGAAACTAAGGGAAACAGAGATGGCCAGACGGGGACCCAATAACCCAGATTATGATCCATACTGGACTAATTTTTTTAATGGTAATTTTTAAGATACCACAGTGCTGAGCACAATAAAGAACTGGAAACAAGAAGTGCCTGAGATAGGTAGTTTGGGATGAGTACAATAGGAAGACGAGGAACTAAGGGACTTAGAAACACAAGTGCCACCAAATTTCAATGGCTGCTTTTGAAAACCCCACTTGAAATCAACAGGGAAGCAAAAGTGATCAATATAGCTATAAAATGGAATAGGTTGATAAAAGAGTTAGGAAAGCTAAGTTAATAGAGAAATACTTAAAATAGATGAGACAGGCTGATAGAAAAGCCAGTTAAATAGAAATACCTCATAGAAACAAGAGCTAGAAAGAGAAGGTCAATAAAGTCAGAAGAGAGAAATATCTAATATAGGTAATAGACAGAAACGGCAGAGAAGAGAGAGAGAGACAAAAGAGATTGGGAAAAGGGATAGAAAAAAAGTGGAAAGCATAAGCAAGAAATAAGATGAACAATATATTGAGGATACAGGCTTCTAAAGTACATGTAGCTCTGGTAACAATTGTTGCTACATGATTCAGATAACAAAATTTATTTTTGTGTAGAACTGCACAGCATCTTATTTGTCAGAGATGATTACTGTCAAGGATTTTTTGAGACAGACAAATAGTTTCAATTTTAAACCATAGGAGGAACTCATTCAAGAATTATTACACAATAAATACAAATTGCATCAAAGTTTGAAAAGGACTGGCCAATGCAGTATTAACATTATGTCTTCCTGGTTATCTTTATGCCCCTGTCTACTTTCCAGCCCTCCCTTTTTCTTTCTGGTCTTCTTCCAAAGTGAAGTTTAGAATGATATTTTTTTCTTAGCAATTGCATCAGCCATAGAAAATTATAGCATGGGACTAGAGGAGCATGGATAATGTAGAACAAAATGCAAGTCCCTTGAAGATCAAGGGTTTCATATTTCATTTGGAATTTTTGAAAATGCTCCTGTGTTGTGGACAAACCTGCAATTCAAAATTTGAGCAAAATTTTAAAATACGTTTGAACTTTGTGAATAGAAATTGGACAAACTCAATTAACTACAAGAATATTTTTAGAACGTATTTCATGAAAAGACCATAAAGAAAAGAACTGTTCAGGTCACATAATAACCAGGAATAGAATGCCATAAATATTCCCAAGAAATTTTTTCTTCCCTTTCCCCCACAAAAAAACACAATCAATTTTTCAGATTTTAATTCATATAAGCACAGAAGAATGTATACACTGAACTGAAGCTGATTATATTGGCCATTAATAAGATCTTTCCACTACATGCTCAGTCATTATCAGATAAATATTCACTACCATCATCACACATTAGCATGAATTTTTGGTCCCTGTAATACAGATGTGACTAGTAAGCAGCCCTGTACTGGGCACAAGCCAGATATCCTAGCAACAAAAGTAGAGAGAGAAAAACCAATACTGTACTGGAAAGAAGCTACAGCAGGAGACTTGTAATCGGGAGTGTTGGATTCTCTTCCCAGCTCAGTCACTGATTCCATGTTCAACTCTGAGTAAATCACTTTCCCTTTCAGTGCCTCAGTTTCCCCATCTGTAACATGACAACAGAACTATCAAGCCAACTCACAGATGGAATATGAAGCAAAATTAATAAATGTTTGTAAAATGCTATGAGATGGTCTAGAGGAAAAGTGCTATAGAAATGCAAAGTATGATCCTTGTAAAAACTTCTGAGTACACCATTTCTCTACCTAGGAAAGTCATTTATAATCATTGTTACACTAGCAGTAATGTCCCATTTCTAACAGTGCTAATATCCATGCCCCACCCTCAGGCACTGCAATATCATCTCCTTTGCAAGCTAGTTTTAGCAGTGTCCTACCATTCTGTTCCAGCTCTGTTGATCTCTTCCCACCAGCATTCAGTTGGCTCCCCCAGGCTCTGGGGGGTTGGCATGCACGCATAGTTCCACAGTCTGTCAAAGCCTTCCTCCTTGCTGAATGTGCTTCTTACTGCTACTATCACCTGCCCATGGGGGCACTGGAAGTTGAAGCCCTGACGATACACGTTAACCCACTCATCATTATCCCCATAGTTATATTGTGGATAGTAATTCTCTGACTGCCCACCCCAAGCCACTGTCACCAGTGGCAGGAACACAAGTCTGACTGCCCATCCCAAGCCACTGTCACCAGTGGCAGGAACACACAGAGAAGAACAAACTCCATGTTGTCTATGTTCCTGGCTTAGAAATGCCCCACCAGTTTGTTGTGTTGGCCTTTTTATATTGCCGCTAACATTTGGCTTCCAGATGTTGTATGTCTAGATCCAAGTGCAATGTGTCACTGCTGAGCAAAACTTATCTGAGCTGAAATACTGGCTACAGGCTCTTCCAATTACATTTAAGGTGGAATTCTACAAGTACAGTAATTCTGCAGCCCAGAGGCACTGGGGTTTCCCAAGAATGTAAACCTCTTATAACCCTTTATTGTAAAACAACTGTGTATGATGTTGGTACATACTTTATCCATCATAAATGGATAATATGCATGATTCAGCAACTCACCAGACAGTAGTTAAGCATGAAAAACCACTTCATTTGAAATGAGATCTCTATTTACATGGGCATAACCTGGAGAAACACTGACCTTTCAGGTTACAATTCTCCATCCTTGGCTTTTACTCATGTATTAAAAAAAAAAAAACCCAAACCCTCAAGCCAAAATATTTCCATGAATTTTAACAAGCAGATAGTTGGGGGAGGAGAGAGGCAAGACTTTTCCCATTGTAAATATATCCTTTTTATTTTTCCTTTTTGTAGCCTGGATGGATGAGCTTTGAGTGTTCCAAGCTCACTTTTGTTGAGGAGGGGAGGATGGCAGGTTTTCCCCAGAGGAGACTACGTTCTGTTATGAGCAAGTGCTCTGGGCCTTAAGCCTTCTGCAGCTCTCAGGAACATGGGTGACTAGGGCCTTGGAGACTGGGAAAAGACAGGAAGGGAGAAGAAAGTCTCACAGTATTCCCCTTTGCATATGTATTACATTATAATCTTTAATGGCAGTCTCTCTTGGAGTTTTTCAGATAACATGGGTATACTAGCTTAGAATTTCTGTACACACTTAGACATGTGTTCAACAACTTGGAGTGTTGTGTGTATTCCTCAAATCAGGTAAATGAGAAGTGGATAGTAAACTACATGCATTTACAGTGCATATGCAGCTCAATTTACAGCTCGTGTTAATGACTGTGGCTCAATAGATTACAGTAGAACTTTGCCAAATTATGTCACTGGAGGATTTGGTTCATGACATACTGTTAGGTTAACAATAATTTGGATTATTGAGAAGCATTGGATTTGCAGCTGAATACAAGGCATGACCTGTAGCCTAGCAGTGCTGCTGACCACAAGGCAGAATGATAGCTAAGCCAGCCATTTGCTTATGCTAAGTACCATCTTAACTGTGTTAACCATTTTTTCTGGAAAGAGCAGCAAATAAGTCTGTGCACTATGAACCAGCTACAGCGAGGAATGAGATAAAGGGTGGGGATGGCACAACTCAGGACAGAAAAACAGATTGGAATATGGAAGATAACATGTAACCAAGATGAACATATGCAAAAGGGTGGATGGTGATTGGTAAAGAAACCTCCAAAGTCCGCCTATTGGCCTAAAGGGTTCATAGCCTTAGACACGTGCTCATAGCAAAAAAGCACGTAAATTAATAGAATACATTGGCAATTTCATGCTAATGAAACAAACAGTAAACAGAGGCAGAGCTTAACATGGGAGGAGAAATGGGTCGAACATAGGAGGGGCAATGGTAGAATAAATGTTAATGAGTATAAACCAAAGTGTATAAATGTGGGGAAAAAGTATTGTTCACTGCAGGTCCCCCGTTTGTTGTTTTTTTGGGACTCTTGTCCGAAGCTGTCTCCATTCTGAATAAAGCTGTTATGAGCAATGTGTGCTGGTGTTTGCTCCCTGCTTGCTCTGGCTAATGAGTAACAGGATCCATGGGCAATTAGATCGTCATCTCCCTAGTCGTTGGGCGCCACATGGAGTCGGGGTCTAACACATGCATCACACAACAGTAGTAAAAAGGTACTCTCCAGAGGTTTGGATTAACTTCCAAAATTAAATTCTTTTGATGAATTATTAAGTGGTACTTCATTAATGCCTGTAAATACACAGTCACAGCAAGAGGCTGTCGCAGGATATCTATTAGCTATATTCCCTAGACTAAACCTGTGAACCAGCCTCATTCATATCATAATTCAATTAACCAAAGCCCCAACCTAACCTGTTTCCCACAACCCCCACCCCCATTCCCCCCGCCCCCCGGCCAATTCTAGGTGTCTGTCACCTGGAAAATTTTCAGTGTTCTAAGCCAATATTTCACACCCTTTTCCATATCAAGACACTCCAAGGTTCCCCTCTTTCCCCAGGGTATAGTTCAGTATCCTGACTCCAGTTAGCAACACAAGGAAGGCAGTATTGATTGCCCATGGAGCATGGTGATGCTCAGCCATACAAAGTGTCACAGTCCACTGGAACATCCAGCCTAGTGGGTAGAGACAGGAGTAGGACCAGGGATGCTAGGGTGGAGTTCAGAAGCCTAGCCAGCCTAAGGATGACCTAGAATTAGGTGGTCAGGAAGCAAGCTGAGGTCAATCTGAAGTCCAAAGTACTAGATGCACAACCAGGGAAGACAGAGAAGAAGCCAGAGAAGTTACCAGGACAGGTACCAGAAGTTACTAGCCCTGTTAATCAATCTTCAGGGCAGGAGCCTCAGCCTTATCCTTGTGGCGGGCCAGTAGGGGGTGCTCCTACGTTGAGCCACTGACCTCATGCACCCTACCATCTTCCAGGCTCTGAGGGCCTCCCTGGGGGCGCCTCATGTCTGGCCAACCCCCTTCCTGGAGCACACCTGCTAGCCTGGGGGTAACACTGCCACCACCCAGGGATGGGCTTGATTCTGGCTCTGCGCACCCTGGGAAACACAGGCCTAGTAGCCCTCAAGGGTACTTGATTCACTTCAAGAACTTGGGATGCTTCCCTCAGTCGGAAGCACAAGTAGTGTTCTCCCTTAGTCAGCTGAACCAAGGGGACCACAAGGCATAATCTAGACCCACTCCCAATAAGTCTCCCACGCTAGGTACAAAGGAGAACTTTGTTGCTTACAAGGAGTAGGGTTGGAATAGGGGACAGGGTAGAGCAATATCAGTGAAATCCCATAGAGCAAACTGGCATGGCTGGGTAGCCTTCAATCACACATCTGAGTTACTGCAAGCTATATATCTAGTTAGATTTCAGGTAGCTTACTCACAAGTATCCAGAGGCAGGTGGAGATGCCCTCTGGAGGCAGGCAGTTTCTTGATCATGAGTTTTGTGAGAGAACAAGTTTCAGATGGTCCAGCTCTTCTCTCTCTCTGAGTCTTTCTCATGGCTGCTGCTCCCTCCTCCTGGGCAGTCCTTAACTTATGACCTCATTTACCTGGTCCAATGGAGGCCAGTACCTGTTGGCTGTCAGCCAACCAATTTGAAATGCATCACTAGTTGCTGGGCAGACTGGCAGTTCCCAGCTCCTCAGGGAGCCCAAGCCCCTCACCCAGGTATGTGATGCCAGTCACGTAGCCAGAGGGAGCAGGTTTCCCCCCTCCCTCAGGAATGTATCCAGCTCAGGTTACCTAAAGAGATAGGGTAAGTTGTGTACCCTCTGCAGGGCCCATCTTAACCAAATTGTAACAGAGCCGAGTTTTTGGGGAGAAACAGAGGTGGCCTTCTGCCACAATCCTTATACAAAGAGATCAGTGTCCTATAGGAAATATGGTCTGACTGGGGATTAGGACCTATAGGAGAGAATATGGACATGAGTCATATGGGAACTATGACACCCCTGAGGCACTATGGCAGCTTGAGCAGTCATACAGGTTAATGGCCACCCAAAAGGAGCATGTTTCAGCACTGCCAAATCAACCTTTATATTTACCTTCTGTTGAACAAGTGTTTGAAACAGGCTTGCACAGACTGCATGGTATGTGTATAGCATCAAGGGTCCAGTTCCTGACTTCAGCTGGAGTTTGCCTAAGAGAAAACCTCAAGATGTTAAAATCTGTCCCTTTGGGAAATTACTTGCCTTTTACTTTTACTTTGAAAAAGTCAACTCCTAGCCTTACAGCTTGCTGTTCTCATACTCAAAGTATGAGTATACTCATCACAAAGTAGCAAAACAGAAAGCATCAAGGTGGCAAAAAGGAGGTTCTCAGGCTACTTGTTAATGGTTCTTTAGTTAACACTATTAACGGTACACATTAATTCATAACATTTTCTATCACAGCTTCAGAATTATACAAGTCAGTCCATTTAAAAAGGGTGATAGTTGCTTCTACTGTGGCTGGCCCCAAGCATTGCAGTAACACTGTTGTACACTACTGTACTGCATCAGTATTTCAAAATACCAAAGGATATTATAAAGTATTCTAGACCACACTGTTACATTTCCCTTTGCAGTTTAGACCACCCCTGGGAAATACATAAGAATTATTTTAGCTTTAAATACTATTACTATAGTTTTGCTGTTAATTATTTAAAGCAAATCTATGACTTACTAGATTTTGCACTGGAACGTTTGGAAAAATGAAAGCTCTATTTACTGCTTGGCAAAAAACAGAGGTACTAGACCAGTGGCAGAACCATTTAGGATGCCAACTTGTTCATTTGCAGAGACACCGAGGCTCTAATTCTGCAAAATTTTACTCAGGGGAGTAGCACTATTGACTATGCAGATGACCACAGTTAAGTCCTAGTTATGATTTAAACATAAAGGGAACCCAATGCTTCTTCTAGATGGGAATGAATTTTACTCCATGTGAATAAAGGTAAAGCTTTGAATTTAGTGCTGGTGAAGACAGTCAGATTGATAGTCCTGGAGCCTGAAGTCATCTGTCCTTGGAACAGGCAACAGTCAGGGATCTTCTTTTCCCCAAACTTTCCTGTTTCTAATCACCATGGCCATTATGTCGCCTCACAGAGCAAAAAGGGAGTTGTGTTTCTATAGCCATTTCATTGTGCAGCAGGGTCACACCTTTTGATCATGTTTTCCATTTTTAGTTACATGTCAGAGGACATAGTTGGGATGTCTAATAAAACAGCTGTTTAGGTGAGTCAGGAACTGCTGTCTGTGAGTTGGGAGCTTAAGCTGAATTTGATTGCCAGTTACACCATCATTCCATCTTGTATTAGTCCTTTTTTTCTTTTTTACAAGGGCCTGGTATTGCTGCATTTTATACCAGCTCAAAGATT